TTGCCCTTTGTCAAACCCATCAAAGCATCAGCCAGGGCAAGAACAGCAGAATCTGCAGCAGATGATGATGCAGTCCCAGGTGGAGGGCTCCCGCCCTGAGATGCTGTGTCACTATCTGAACCAGAAKCTGCAGCAGCAAACAGGGCGCCCTTCCTCCTCCTTCGCCCTTTGGAGGAGGGCCCCTTCCTTCCTTCAGAAGGTGCTTCTGGAYATGGAGTTTAGACTCCAAGTCCAGGGCTGCTCTGCCAAAGGACCGCCAGTCCTTGTGGCCCTGAGAGAAGAGAGCAAGCTGGAATTGCCCAGTCGCTGCCCTTAGGAAATGAATGAGCAGATCCTGCTCGCTCATCTCCAACCCCGGAGTCGATGTCAGACTCTCAAAGGTGGAGTACAGTTTGGACAAGGAGCCCTCAAACTTCTTCTGGCCCAGGCGCATGATTTTGTCTGTTGCCTTCTTGGCCTGCTCCTTGTCTGCAAACCGGTCCTGCAGGGCCTGCAGAAATCCAGCCACCCCCAGCCTCTGCACCCAATCAGCCATCTCCATACCTTGCTTGCTGGAGGTAGAGGTGCACCATTTCAGTGTTGACCGCTCCAAGCGAGCAAGGATGGCTGACACCTTCACATCCTCGTCACATTTGAACCCACTCAGGTAGGTCCTCTGTGCAGCAACCCAGTCTGCCACATCCACCTTTGGGTCCTCGCCTGAGAACATGGGTGGCRGTGTTAGCTCAGGACGCTGAAACTCAAATGGTGATGAGGGTTGTGAAGCTGCTGTTGATCCGGGCGTAGGGGGTGGAGATGCAGGTCTGGAGTGTGGGGGTGATGCAGGTCTGGAGTGTGGGGGTGATGCAGGTTTTCGCTGAGAAGGTCCAGGAGAGGGAGGAGCAGAAGGAGTAGCAGGGATCTGAAGGTGAGTGAAGATCAGATCCAGTTTGGTAGAGATGTCATCCARCTTTTTCGAAAAAGTTGAGTGGCTGCTCTCCAGACTGGTGATTCGGTCATCCCAGTTAGTAAAATAAGATTTGTTGATATCATCCTGCAAAGGGACGAAACTGACTAGAAGAACCGCTCGTTCTGACCTTCTCTACATCTGCAATCAATAACTTTTTCCTGGCCTCTTTCTGGGCCKCCTCCTCCTTCTTCTTCAGCTCAGCCTTTAGAGTCTCAACTGCTTTGGCCTGTTGGCGGAGTTTCTCCTCCTGGGCCTGCAGTTCAGCCTCTAAAGGGTCCAGCGGAATCTGAGGCTTAGCCTCAGAAACTTCTGCTTTGCCTGCATCAGCCATTCTGCCCACAATACAGATAAATACAAACAAACAAACAATAAAGACAAAGCAGGAGGTAACAAGAATTGAATGTTCTCTGCAGTACTAACCCAATTGTTGTCGCCTGCCTGGAGAGAGAGGATGGGTTAGTATAAGCAAGTGAGTGCTCAGCCTCAGCAGACCGCTTGAGGGTCAGGGTCAGTTCATAGTCCACTCAGGCAAAAACCAATTTCACGATTTTTCCATCCCTGCCCTGACACAACAATTGCATGCAATAATTGCAAATCCTGAATCAGCAACTGATAGGATGCAGTCTTGGACTAATTAGTGTTGATTAACAATCAGATAGCGTGACTAATTAGGGTTAGACAGGTTTCTACTGATGACCAAGATGCAGCGATTTACAGGATAACCTATTTTTAGACTTACCCTAAAGACCTCAACACTGTATGACCCTGTATGCCATACCCTGGGTATGGCGAATTACAGTTTTCACTGTAACTGACTCAGAACATCRAATCTGGATGTGTGATTTCAGACACTGCTACAATACTGAATTGCGATTTACCAGGGACTGACAGGACTGAATTCTGACGGACAAAATCAAAGTTATGACTGACCCTAGTCTAGCCTAGCTTTGGCTATGTCAGCGCAGAATTCAAGTTTGCATTATCACTGACAACAGACCCTTGAATCCACCAATTCACTGCACAGTGTCGATCGCAATACTGTAAGGCAGTCCCAAATGGAATATGAGCCAGAGGGAAGGTCAAACAGGGTTAGTAGAAGTCAAAGAAGATAGGTAGGGGAAGTTGGATATGGCTGTCCCRSAGTCTGAATTTCTATTTTCAATTGTCACCTGACAGACAGACCAAATTTCGCTATTCTAAAAATAGCCCCAGAATCGCCACACAGGATGGAATATGGAACACACTTACTTCAGGGTCAACTCTGAAGAAGATGCATGAAACCCTGGCTATGGCTGACTGGTCAACCCCATCTCGCCAGTTTCATCTCCTGACAGTATACAGTGTTCCCACGTACCAAATTCCCTGAAACTTGGTGATCCAGCAGATTACCCTGAGGCGCTTCACCCCCAACTGACAAATTCAGAGAATTTAGACTCCCAGGTGCCAATAACTGACAAAGTCAGTGCAGTGCCACATCACCCTGTACTGCGCCGTTGGGAAATTGGGGATCTTTACCCAATTCCACAATCGCCACCTCCTGGACTCACCTCCCTGATAATCGCCAACCTCCAGGTGAATCGTCAGGCTAAATTTAGCCTCTCAGAGCCTCCCAGGCCTCTGAGTATCAATCGCCAACCACTCC